ACGAGACTCTTCCTTGGGGGTGGAAGGCCCCCAGGCTTCTGGATCTTGCAGGAGCAGCCACCAGAGTCAGGGTTTCGAGCCCTCGCGCGTGTCGCCTGGCGCCAGGTCGAGGAGAAGGGGTGAAGGTGGTGGGGGGCAGGGGTGGCACGAGCCTCGGATGGCCAGTCGTGCTCTTCCCTGTCGGCCCTGTTGCAAACGGAGACGTGCGCCAGGAGAGTCTTCGGCGGGGCCGTTCGGAGGGTTCCAAGGAGGGTTGGTGGTGGTGGGGGGTCCAAGCGGTTCCCTGGTGCCCAGACCAAGCATGGAGGCGTCTTGCGTATGGCAAGCCCCATGCGGCCCTGGGCCATCCACGGTTGCCCATCGCGTCCATCGACCGCATTTTGGTCACCGTTGTCGGTGACGACCCTCCAAATGCACGTAAGCAATTAGACAATGATACGTGCCTGCACTTTCTGACTGCAACAAACGTTCGCCGACATGGTTGCCCTCTGCTGTAACGATTGCACCAGATTACGGGGGGGAGGGGAGGTGTTTGATGGTATTGGCCCCTTAAACAAGTCGATGTGCCTCCCAGACAAGGGAAGGCGAGCGCAAATTCCTTGTGAGGAGCGTCTCTGTACGTCCAACAGTTTTTTGGTGTAAAATCAGTGGTTCTTTTATTCATTCATCCATGGTGTGCGCACGTTGTTTTTGTTGTTGTTGTTGTTGTTGTTGTTGTTGTTGTTGTTGTTGTTGTTGTTGTTGTTGTTGTTGTTGTTGTTATTGTTATTGTTATTGCTATTGTTGTTGAACATTATTACTTCTAAAGAATAATTATTGTTGGGACCCCTGGTGCACGACCCCCCCGCCGCGCCTAGGCCGCAGCCTCATTTTCATCATTTTCGTGAGGAAGTCTCAGGCAAAACGGGTTGGTCCGGATCCGGTTGTGTTGTTACGATCGGTTTTCCCTTGCAAAAAATAAGCTAAAGTGGACATTTCTTGTTCTAACATAACCAAACTTCAAGAATCCCTTGCAAAAAATAAGGTAAAGTGGACATTCGCGCGCGCAAGACGAAATCCTTCCAAAACCTTAGTTTTCGTAGCGATTTTAACATAAAAACATCAAAAAACCAATGGTTTTTCAAACAAAAATTGTCAAAATTTCATCCCGCGCGCTCTTGCGGATTCGTAGGAAACCCAACACTTTTTAATCATTTCTGTCAAACGGGCTTTTGCGAGCAACTTTTTCGAACTTCTGCAACAACGGTTGCGCACCTGCCAGGGCCATCATCCCTGTCAAATAATACCATGCGGGACACATTCGTTTTTTCTTCGCGCGCGCACGCCGTCGTCGTCGGCCGCGGGGCCCTGAATAGTAGCCACGGTCGTCCGCATGCCACGAAGTGAAGTGTCCGAACGTCATAGGGCGGGAAGCTGGGTGTGGGTGGTGGCGAAGAGTCGTTTGGAAATTTGGTAGAGCTTGAACCGGCCCCCCCACAAAGTGGGGGTATTGCCCGCCTCCTATGAAAACCCTGGCACTGGTGAGAACGGTGTGTCCCCACGTGCTAGTAATTGTTGTTGTTGTTGTTGTTGTTGTTGTTGTTGTTGTTGTTGTTGTTGTTGTTGTTGAACTCTCATTCTTGAAGAATAATTATTGTTGATCCCCCCTCACCGGTGCACATTGATTTTCTAAAATTGAAGTGCCCCCCCGGGGCTCGCACCTTGTTTTTTGTCAAGGAAAATCTTCCTGCTCAAACTGGCACCCTGGCCCCCAGGTTACAACAACAACGGCTCCCGCCTGAGACTTCTTCACAATTTAGACAGGACCCCCGCTCCCGCCCGAGACGTCCTCGCATTTTATTCAAGAATCGCGCTCTCGCTTGGGACTTGCTTGCGATTTATTCAGGAATCGCTCCTCCTACGCTCTGGAGTCGCGCTCTCGCTGGAGACTTGCTTACAATTTACTGAAGAATAGTACCCTTGCGTTGGAATTTCTTGCAATTTACTCCAGCGCCGCGCTCCCGACACCCAGGCACCCAGGAGTCGCGCTCACGCTTAGGACTCCTTCACAGATTACCTAGGGATCGGGATCTCGCTGCCCTTCGTGGCCCCGTTGCAGCCCTTCGTGGCCCCCTCGCTTTGTTTCGTGGCCCCGTTGCAGCCCTTCGTGGCCCCCTCGCTTTGTTTCGTGGCCCCGTTGCAGCCCCTCGTGGCCTCCTCGTTGCCCTTCGTGGCCCCGTTGCAGCCCGTCGTGGCCCCCTCGCTTTGTTTCGTGGCCCCGTTGCAGCCCTTCGTGGCCCCCTCGCTGCCCTTCGTAGGATCGTTGCAGCCCTTCGTGGTCCCGTTGCAGCCCTTCGTGGTCCCCTCGCTGCCCTTCGTGGCCCCGTTGCAGCCCTTCGTGGCCCCCTCGCTTTGTTTCGTGGCCCTATATATGTATGCCCTTCGTGGCCCCCGCTCGTTTGCGCCCGTGGTGGCCCCATATGCATGCCCTTCGTGGCCCCGCTGTCTCCCTTCGTGGCCCCCTCGCTGCCCTTCGTGTCCCCGTTGCTGCCCTCAGTGGCCCCGTCCGTACCCTCCGCGGCCCAACATACGTATGCCCTTCGTGGCCCCCGCTCGTTCGCGCCCGTTGTGGCCCCATGTGCATGCCCTTCGTGCCCCCGCATTCGCCGTTTGTGGCCCCCTCATTGTCCTACGTGGCCCAGGTGCTACCCTCAGTGGCCCCATCGTTGCCTTCTGTGGCCCCGCATTATCTGCCCTTCGTGGCCCACGCTCATTCGCGCTCTTCGTGGCCCCATACGAATTCCCTTCGTGTCCCCGCTGTCGCCCTTCGTGGCCTACTTCGTGTCCTTCGTGGCTCTGCTGTCGTTCTCTCTCGCTCTCGCTTTCGCTCGTCGTCGTCGTCGCCGTCGCCGTCGTTGCCGTCGTCGTCGACGACGTCGTCGTCGTCGTCGTCGTCGTCGTCGTGGTCGGTCCCTTGTCCGTCCCTCTTGGGGTCGGGTCGACGGTCCGCGGCAGCCCCCCCGATCAGCGCCGCCGTTGGCCAGGCCGACGGTCCGCGGCCGCCCCGCCGCTTGCCGGGGCCCGGCCTGCAGGGAAGAAAGGTATACCCCCAAAAGGGGTTCGATCGAAGACGAAAAGGGCGGGTTTCGAGGGTTTGGGGGAAATTCGCGTTATTCGACACTCGAGCAGATAAGGGCGAACAGTCTTAAAATGATTGTTGTTGTTGTTGTTGTTGTTGTTGTTGTTGTTGTTGTTGTTGTTGTTGTTGTTGATATACATTTATTTTCGTAGGTGGAAGTCGTTTCCGAGTTCTAGAGTTTCTCCCCATCACGCTTCAATGCTGGTCTGGGTGTCTAGACTCTAGACATATTTCTTGTATGGTTGCTTTCTATACACGTCTCCCCGCTGTTCTGTCGGGGAACATCGGGGGTCGAATGGCCAACACGCGTCAGTGGGTCAGGCAACGACCCCAATCTGCTCCAGTGGGGCAGACAGTGCCTCCGATCGGCTGCCTGGGTACACATGCGCGCATGCGCTCGTTCGGAGGGTTTTCGCGAGCCCCATATTGAGTTACAACGTGTTCTCTACATGGGGGTAGATCTCTGCCTGACCCGAGACTTTTAGATGTTTCCGTGAGTGTTTTGCCGAGGATCAGGTTTTGTTCCCAAGATCCCTCCAGCGTTCCTGCTAAGAGCTGGTGATGCTCCTGCTCTGTTCTGTGATTGGTTTGGGCACCTGGGTGCCCCTCCGTTGCGCCTCCATGCCGCACGTACGCGAAGCCCGTGACCAGTCGCTATAAGTAATAATATCGCGGGCGACATTCGCGACATTGTCGTCGGCACGCCCCGTCACCGCGTTGTAGCGGGCGGTGAAAGTTGCCGAATCACGGGTGCGGGCAGAGCAGCAGCGATTCATTGTGACCACCACTTCTCCCCCAAGCCTTCCTGGTTCCCCAGGCCAACGGCTGGCCGCCAGCCCATGGAGAAAACAGAACAATCTGTGAGGATTCTAGAGATTCGTTGCCTGCTGTTGCGCACGGCAGCGACGGCACCATAATGGGCGCACGTGCCAAATTCATAGGGCTCTGTAAGCACACATTGCCCGCCAACCGTTTGGGACTATTTGGCTCGTTTGTGGTGGCTCTTCTCTTGGCTTGTTCACGGCTCTCTTGAGGCACCCATGGAGCCAAACTGGAGGTCTCTGGGGTCTTTCACTCTTGGGGCCAGGTGGGCCACCGTTGGACTCGTCTTTGGGCCTGAAGTCCCCCCCTAACCTGTGAGGGGCAGGTTACGGTACGTTCGCATCGTGTCGACCAGCGACGGCCCCAGCGCAGGCATTTAAGGTTGAACGCCGCCCGTGGCCCAGGATCGGCCCATCGGTGAACGATCCGACGTTTCTGAACCGGCCGATCGTTCAAGTCTGAATGATCTTCGCGGTGTCAGGGACCAGCGCTGGGGTCGGCCCGACACGAACTTGCCGTACAGTGGGGTTCATGCCAAGAATCATTTTGGTTCCCTCCAGGGTGCCTTGGGTTTCTGGTGTTTTGACGGTTTTGCCCAGGGACGCGCGAGGTCCACAGCCCAAGCATCGATGGAATCCCTGGGGGTTCAGGATTGGGTTTCTTGCGGAAGGCTTTTTGTGGCTGAGGTCCTACTGTTTCTGAGACCATGCTAAGGCAGGCAATGTGAGACGGCCAACCCCGTAGGACAGTTAGTTGCACGCGCTCAAATACCAGCGTGCCTCTCGGGGGCCTCTTCAGGAGACGACAGGGCCATTGCGAGGCAATAGTGGGGCAGTGTGGCCTCGTGGAGTCCTCTCAGAGACGGTCCTGGTCCAAGCGCTGACGCTGCGAGAGGCCATCTGGGGCTGTCGCGAGGGAAATCGTGGGACAATTAGGGCGGCCGTTTTGGGAACACGCTGGGCCGTCCTTGGGGTCCAGGAGGTGAATTGACGAGCTCGTAGACCCGCCCAACTCTTCCAGCATGGTTTGGGCCTCGTTGAGGGGGGACATGAACAAGGGGGGACGCCGAACCCTTTCACATGCCTTGTCGCCTCTGACAGATGGGGGTCGGCGACGAAGTGGAGGAAGGGCATGAGGAAGACGCCGACCACCAGACAGTTCAGACGAAGCCTACGACAGCCAACGTCATTCCACGAACTGTCAACGTCAGTACCAGACTGCCTCGAAAGCAGCATGATGCAAAAGAGGAGGCAAACGAGGCGACCTCATCTCTTATCTCCTCCCCACGGCAGTGGTGCGGAGGCTCAGAACACTAAGTGCAAGAGAATCAATGAATGCAACTCGCTTGCGCACAGCACGCACTTGCCGTCAGTTGTGACCTGGAGCAAGTCTTCCCTGGTAACGTCCTCCACGGCTGCCTCCTCCTACGCCTCTATTTGCACCTCATCGTCTTTCTTCTCTTCTGCCTCTTCGTCTTGTTTCTCTTCTTCACTCTGTCGATTCCTCTCCTACGTTGAGACGTACATGGTCGTGCTTTGAGTTGTTTGGTCAAGCAGTGTGAAATACGTTGCTGCACTTGGCGTGGTGGTGCTCATTGAAGAACACGTTGCCAATGTCACTTGTGGCCAGTCGCACTTGCCGTCAGTTTCGACCTTGAGTAAGTCAGCCAGCATGGCATTGGTGCTGTCATAAGTGCGCGAATGGCTGACACGGGTTAATGGATGAAGGTGCGCAGGCATCCCAATTATTTGCTCGCGTTCGCGAACACGTGTTTGGCACAGTCTGGAATTCCTTTGAGGTCTCTTTCCTGGTCGCTTATTTTTTTACAAGCGTTGACCTGTAAAGTGTGTGTCGCTTGGCTTGGGAAATCATGCATGTTTGCAAGTGTTCACACCACGCTGTTGTCATTGAAGGCCGGTCGACACATGTGATCACATCTTCTTGCGTCTTCCGTGTGCCCAGCTCGCTGATTTGCAACTTAACAGTTTCCCAAAGCACAGTCTCCTTGAGGTCGAACCCCCCCGCCAAACATACACTCCAACTCGGCAGGCGAGGGTCGGCGTTGAAGCGGAGGAAGATCATGAGGAAGAGGCCGACCACCACGCAGTTCAGACGAAGCATGCGACAGCCAATGTCATTGCAGTAAAGCGACACTCTGTGAAAGAGGCGACAGACGAGGCGACCTCGTCTCTCATCTCCTCGTCTTGGCAGTAGTAGGCATGCGGCCAGAAAAAGGGCAGGGCGAGTGGATTGTCTTGACCCTATCCTGATCGTTTCCATCTCGTTCCCACCCTGTGCGGTTTCTTCGACGCCCCCAGCATCCAGTGTCGCGAGGACAACTAACAAAGGAGTGCAGTGGACACGGCAGAACGATCGACTTTGTTGGATCGATTCGTGAGGACAGCCAGGCCCGAAACGAAGCGCAAGCACCCGTGTTGTTTCTTCGCGACTCGCAGATGTGAGATTCATTCAGGGTTCCATTGTCGCTCTGAAGGCACCCGCGGGATCACATATCCACGGGATCATGCCTTGGTGTTAATTCCGCGATGGCATGGGTATGAACAGTTACGTCGATCGCGAGCCGAGTGGGGTCACTTTCTTGCAGTCGGCATACTCGACGCGGTTCGACTCCCCAAAGGTATTTCTGATTGCTTCTCCTGGCGCTCTGGAAGGGACGCACATTCACTGGCAATAAACGTAATCTGGGAGTTTGCCAACACGTGTCTATGTTGCGACGCTGTGTGTGAAATATTTGCCACACCAAACGCAAAAGGGATCGTTTATTGTCTGATTCTCTTTCTTTACGCCCAGATTTGAAGCTCGTGCTACGTTCCAAGGTCGCCCTGAAGGCTGCGTGGATGACCTCGGCCCCCGTGTGGGCACAGCGCTCCAACCTGCCCCTCGCTGGCAGAGCTAGGTATGGCCCGAAGGCGAGCTGCGAGGGAGGCGCAAGAGAGGACGCACACGCTCAGCCACTGGTCGATCACATTTGAAGTCTTTGCTCTCAGGTCCTCGAGGGTCGACCGTCGGCGGGAAAGAGGTCCACATCCATATCCACGGTTTGGCGGCCTGGACTCCTCGGCCGCGACTCCATGGTATGGCGGCTTTGCGCGGATGGCCGGCGCGGCACGTACCCGTGGGATCGCGTGTGCACAGGATCGAGCTCTGGTTTCCAGACCGCGAGGGCCTTGATATCGATATGTTCTTCGCTCGTGAGCCGAGGAAGGCCAAATCTTCGCAGGTAGCGAGAGGGCACATTTGAAGTCTTTGCTCTCGGGTCCTCGAGGGTCGACCGTCGGCGGGAAAGAGTTCCACGTCCATATCCACGGTTTGGCGGCCTGGGCTCCTCGGCCGCGACTCCATGGCAGGGCGTCTTTGCGCGGATGGCCGGCGCGGTACGTACCCGTGGGATCGCGCATGCACAGGATCGAGCTCTGGTTTCTAGACCGCGAGGGCATTGATATCGATACGAAACACGCAGCTAGGACTAGGCAGGAAGCCCACGAGCGCCAGTAGCTCCGACGTCGGGTGGGCGCGCGACGGGGTGCCCTCCCTAAAATGGCGGCCGGCGCCGCCTCGTTCGGCGGCGGAGATCCGCGATTCTATGCCGCCACGCTGGTTCCGGGCAGGCTGTGCTGCCCGGCGGAAGGGGACGAGGAGCCAAGGAAGGAGCAGGTGAGCCGAGGAAGGCCAAATCTTCGCAGGTAGCGAGAGGGGTGGACCTCCTGACCCAGACTTTGCGCGAACTGATTTCTAGATTCCAGGCGTTTCTCCTGCACTGCAGCACCTAGGGACCATTCTCCAGAGAAGCCCTGACATCTTCGCGTTACCATTTGGTCAAACAGGGCGTTTTCGCTCGGTTTCGGGCCCCAGGACTCTCACAGATCGATCCGGCTCGGAAAACGGCGCAGACAGATTGATTCTAGGGCTCCCGTCCTGATTGTTCGCGATGCTGCAGTGTGTTTGCAAAGTCAGATCTCAGCGAAGGTGTGGGGACCTCCGGGTGCCCGCCGATTGTCAAGACCGCATCTTCGGTTGTCCGGGGAGGGGGCTGGAGCGATCCGTCCTGGCCCAGGCTCCGCCCCAGGAGTCACACCTGCAAACCATGACTTCCCGGGCCGGGTTTCTTCCAGCACCATCGCCTGGGGGATCGATCTTCGGAGGTGGATCTATTACGAAGGCCCTGCGGCCTGTGCCGCCGACCCTGAAGGGGGATCGACGACGACGACGACGACGACGACGGCGACGACGACGACGACGACGACGACGACGACGACGACGACGACGACGACGACGACGACGACGACGACGACGACGACTGCACTTCGGGCCTGCGGGGGGGACGGGGCGGGAGTGCCACACAGCCGCGGCCCGCCGAGGCCCCCGAAGGTGCGGCGGTGGCTGCGGGCAGATCCCTGCCTCTCGGGAGGGACAGATAATCCTCCTCCTCCTCCTCCTCCTCCTCCTCCTCCTCCTCCTCCTCCTCCTCCTCCTCCTCCCTGGCGCTGGTCCCCTCCCAGACGCTGAAACGTTCGGGTCGGGCGAAAGGGGGGGATTGGGAAAGGGGGGGTTACGAAATTTGCTGCATGCAGCTGGTTTCTGCCCCACCGAGGGGCCCATTCCTCGATACATGGTCGCCTCTGGCGCCGGGAGGCGCCGGGAAAATCAGCTACGCGAGCTGATTCTCAAACCCCCCCTTTGCTATCCCCCCCTTTCGCCCGACCCGAAACGTGGAAACGTCGATCAAGCAGTCGCGAAGCGTCCTGGCTCGCCTTTCGCCCTACCAAGCAATGTTCTAAGAACCTGTTGTGTGGTTTCCACGCAATGTTCTTGGAACATTTCTGGTCGAGTTGGTTTTGTTCCCAACCATCCTGTGGTGTTGGGTCCTCGTTTTGAAAAGACGGTCCCCGCGTTCGTCATCTCCTCCTCCTCCTCCTCCCCTTCCCCTTCCTCCCCCCCTCATCCTTCTTCCATGCGTTTCGCCCACCCATCACAGCGTGTCGTGGCCCCATGAGGGGGCTCCACCGAAGGTCCCAGTGGCACCGCCCGCATGCGTCCGCCACCACCCACAGACCTTGCTCCTTGCGTTTCACCCACCCAGTACAGCGTTTCGTGGCCACTTAGGGAGCCCCACGGAAGGTCCCACTGGCACTGCCCGCGTGCGTCCGGCACCACCCAACACGGCGCGTTTCACCCACCCAGTACAGCGTTTCGTGGCCCCTTAGGGAGCCCCACGGAAGGTCCCACTGGCACTGCCCGCGTGCGTCCGGCACCACCCAACACGGCGCGCTTCACCCACCCAGTACAGCGTTTCGAGGCACCGCCCGCATGCGTCCGCCACCACCCAGCACAGCCCTTGCTCCCTGCGTTTCACCCACCCAGTACAGCGCTTCGTGGCCCCATAGGGAGGCTCCACCGAAGGTCGCAGTGGCACCGCCCGCATGCGCCCGCCACCACCCAGCACGGCCCTTGTTCCCTGCGCTTCGCCAACCCAGTACAGCGCTTCGTGGCCCCATAGGGGGCTCCACCGAAGGTCCCGGTGGCACCGCCCGCATGCGTCCGCCACCACACAGCACAGCCCTTACCCGCTGCGTTTCACCACCCAGTACAGCGTTTCGTGGCCCCGTAAGGGGGCTCCACCGAAAGTCCCAGTGGCACCGCCCGCATGCGTCCGCCACCTCCCAACAGGGCCCTTGCTCTCTGCGTTTCACCCACGCAGTACAGGATTTCGTGGCCCCATAGGGGGCTCACCGAAGGTCCCAGTGGCACCGCCCGCATGCGCCCGCCACCACCCAGCACAGCCCTTGCTCCCTGCGTTTCACCCACCCAATACAGCGATTCGTGGCCCCATAGGGAGGCCCCACCGAAGGTCCCAGTGGCACCGCCCGCATGCGTCCGCCACCACCCAGCACAGCCGTTGCTCCCTGCGTTTCACCCACCCAGTACAGCGCTTCGTGGCCCCATAAGGGGGCTCCACCGAAGGTCGCAGTGGGACCGCCCGCATGCGTCCGCCACCACACAGCACAGCCATTGCTCCCAGCGTTTCGCCCACCCAGTGCAGCGTTTCGTGGCCCCATAGGGAGCTCCACCGAAAGTCCCACTGGCACCGCCCGCATGCGTCCGCCACCACCCAGGACAGGGTTTCGTGGCCTCATTTGGGCCTCCACCGAAGGTCGCACTGGGACCGCCCGCATGCGTCCGCCACCACCCAGCACAGCCCTTGCTCCCTGCGTTTCGCCCACCCAGTACAGCGTTTCGTGGCCCCATAGGGAGGCTCCACCGAAGGTCCCAGTGGCACCGCCCGCATGCGCCCGCCACCACACAGCACAGCCCTTGCTCCCAGCGTTTCGCCCACCCAGTACAGCGCTTCGTGGCCCCATAGGGAGGCTCCACCGAAGGTCCCAGTGGCCACCGCCCGCATGCGCCCGCCACCACACAACACGGCCCCTGTCACCCACCAAGTACAGCGCTTCGTGGCCCGATAGGGGGCTCCACCGAAGGTCCCAGTGGCACCGCCCGCATGCGCCCGCCACCACCCAACACAGCCTTTGCTTCCTGCGTTCCACCCACCCAGTACAGCGCTTCGTGGCCCCATAGGGGGGTCCACCAAAGGTCCCAGTGGCACCGCCCGCACAGCCGTTGTTCCCTGCGTTTCACCCACCCAATACAGCGATTCGTGGCCCCATAAAAAGGGGCTCCACCGAAGGTCCCAGTGGCACCGCCCGCGTGCGCCCGCCACCACCAAGCACAGCCCTTGCTCCCTGCGCTTCGCCCACCCAATACAGCGCTTCGTGGCCCCATAGGGAGCTCCATCGAAGGTCGGAATGGGACCGCCCGCGTGCGTCAGCCACCACCCAGGACGGCCCTTGCTCCCTGCGCTTCGCCAGCCCAGTATAGCGCTTCGTGGCCCCATAGGGGGCTCCACCAAAGATCCCAATGGCCACCGCCCGCATGCGCCCGCCACCATCCAGCACAGCCGTTGCTCCCTGCGTTTCACCCACCCAGTACAACGCTTCGTGGCCCCATTGGGAGCGCCACCGAAGAAGATATCCACAATTGCGGTAGTCACAACTGCATATCGTCGGGTCCTTCGCCAGGTTAATTTTAACACATCGGGTTTATGTTCTAAGAACATTGTTTTGGCTCTTCGAGCATTTTGGGTTCTAAGAACATTTCGTGGTAGGACTATAGGAGTGCCGGGACGGTCGGTCCCTGCTCAAATCGATTCCCATGGACATCTGAGAAAAGACGGGAAGGAAAGGGGCAACAAACATCCAGAACATATGGATATAATTGGGAATCCTGGGATTCGAGTTCATTTCTTTGTGTGTCCCTGGGCCCCTTCAGCCTCGCACGACCCGTTCTCCGTCGTACGCTGCCCGCTGCCCGCCGCCACGCCCGAGGGCCGGTCGCTGCCTGTCGCCCGCCGTTGCCCGCCGCCCGCCGCC